ACAGACACGGCATGGAACAACCTGGGCCATCAACGATAACCGCGACCAACGTTTTTATGCCTTATACAACTCGGGACTTGACGAGGGACGATGGAACGAAAGCGCATGAGGGTAAAAACAACATACGCGGCATGATGACAGACGGGCTGAATGGGGAGGCTGACCGCGAGGCGGGAGGCACACACAGTGACTCAGCTATTATTGGTAAAATACGCGGAGGGAGTAAAGAGCGGCATGAGCCAGAATGTCCATTCTCTGAAGATGGGTAGACGAGACAACTACTCGAAACGTCAGGCTTGTATTAAATTTCTCCCGGCGAACGTTCCTCTTTCTTCTGATTTACCACCTGGGAATCGAGTTTTCAGCAGTATTAGAACAAAAAGTAAAAAGAAGCGTCAAGCTAGAGTAATACGCACACTTAACTGCATCGATCGGCAAAGGTATCAATTACATTTATGAGTTGTGACAGCATTTAAGGCTAATAAACCCAGGTGCGAAGCGTGTGTTTGTGGCTCAGACTAGTCTGGCGTTGACAAGGCAACGGAGACAAAAATATTGATCAGCGTCACGGCGTCGGCGTTTCGATGCGATGCGATGCGAAGATTTAATCACGCGCACCCAAAATTAGTTTGCATGCGTTCTAGGAGGACGGACCGCGGCATGGGTAATGACTTAAGCCCTTTGATGCTATAGAACATGGATACATGAAGCAGGATCATAAAACGGAGTATTCAGCGACTAAGGTACAATTTTGCCATGTAATCTTCTAGCGCGTAAAGCATGCCACCACAGAATCGCACGTATGCATACGAGCCTTTAAGAAGTTTCAGATCTTCAAGAATGTACATAAGAAACTATTATGTGGTTCGGCGTCGTCCCCTTTTCTCAAAACAGACGGCCTAACTCCTCCTCCACATTAAAATCTGTTATGGCGAGCCAGAAAGTGACGCATCATTCTTTTCGTCCGACTGCTCCACCTGACAAGGGACCGCCAAACCACAAATCAGTCTCGCCTAGCAAGCCTGCGCACGAGTTAGCCATAAGGGGACCCATCTTTGGTCTTTTCGGCTGTGTTTTAGTTGTAAATGTGCCCAACGCCGAGATGTCCCCACCTAATCACACTCTCTGTGAGTTCCCAAGGAAGAACGCCGTACGAAAGGCAGACGTCTTATTATGTACCTAGTACAACATTTTAGAGGTAAACAAGGCGTGTACAGGCATGTCCATCGGACCAATCAGATATCATCGTGGAGCGCGTAATGACACGATTGGATTCTGACTCAGCGGTTGATTCAGTATTGATTCATTGACTGCCAGTTTCGCTCGCGGCGCGTAGGCAGATCGATAGCCCGCCGTGAGCGCGGCTAGCTGCCTGCTTGCTTGCGCGCTGACATCAGCTTTGTCGCCAAGTGATTCGATTAGGATGACTCCTAGCAGTCTTGACACCTGGCACAGGTGGGTGAACGGGGAAGAGCCAGTGCGACAGATACAGTGCAAGTATTCTATACCTCAAAACTAATTAACG